GATCTTGACTTTTCCTGGCATCTCTAGTCTTTACCAGGCGCCCTCTATTTTAGTATATAAGCCCGGCAAATAATTGCAGATAGATAGATATAAGGACAGATAATGGAGTCAAGCGAGCGGTAGTGACCGTAAGTAAAGTGCGTGAACGTTGTGAATTATAGCGTGTGTTTAAGTAAAAGTGACTGTGTAAATTAAGTGTATTGCAAAGTTGTATTGAGAAAGAATAAACTAGTTTTATTTAAGAAAGGACTTGTATCGCTGAAGTTCCTCGGGAAGAATTTATACCAGAAATTAACAAACGACCTGAGACATAACAAATTGGTGTCAGTGAGTGGGACGAAAAAATAAGAAAAAGAAGATGGAAACGAGAAGTGGCAAATCAAACTACAGCTTAGCAGATTTGATGGCAGCAATACAAGAACAGCAAAAGAAAAAAAAGAAAAACGAGAAATAAAACAAGAAGAACGAGAAAAGAAAAAAGAAGAACAAAATAAACAAGAGAGATTACAGCAGATGTTGGAGGAAAAGAAAAGAAACAAGAAGAACGAGAAAACAAACAAGAAGAGAGACAACAGCAGTGGCTGCTCGAACAGCAAAATAAAGGGAGATTACAGCAGTTGTTGGAGAAAAAAGAAAAACAAGAAGAACGAGAAAATCAACAAGAAGATAGACTACAACAGTGGTTGGAGGAGAAAGAAAATAAACAAGAAGAAAGTCTTCAACAGTTGAGAGAAAGCCAGCATACACAAATGGAAAAGATGAGTAAATTTCAAAGTGAATTAAATACATTAAAGGACGATTTATTGTCTCTTACACAAGGAGGATATATTAGCCATGGGACTAATCAGCCCCAGACAATGGGAAGTCCCTTCCAGACCCTGCAGCTAAACCCTAAAGCAGACATCTTTAGTCCTGCCAGACGTCACATTCCAGACATTAGTGTCAGCAATAGGGGTGATCTAGTATGAAGGAAGCCACAGTAATTAGATGGGAAGACACCATGGAAAGCATATAGAGCACAATTTGAGCTCCTGGCAGAAATGAATGGATCGACCGAGGAGCAGAAAGCAGTATATCTGGCAACGAGCTTGAAGGGACAACCACTGGAAATACTTGGACAGTTGTCAGCAGACGACAGGCACAACTATAGGGCACTGGTAGCTGCTCTAGAATTCAGGTATGGAATTCAAAATCAGTCCGAAGTCTACAGGGCTAGGTTTAGGATGAGAGTCCGTGCTAAAGGGGAAGCCTGCAAGAGCTGGCACAGGATTTGGAAAGTATGGCACACAAGGCCTACTCAACTGCACCACCAAATGTCCTCATATTGTTGTTGAGGGATCAGTTTATATATGTCTTAGACTGTCCACAACTGAAGATACAAGCGAAGTAAGCACACCACTCTACTATGTAGGATGCAATGGCAA